TCCAATACCAGCCAGGCCTGCGCTCCCAGCACCTGAAGCTCCCAGAAGACAGCGCGGCAGACAATGAAGAGGCCATTGTAGAGAACGGCGCAGGTGATGACCATCAGCCAGCGGTAGTACCACTTCTCCCCGGGGTTGATCATCAGGGGTCCGCGGATCCTGCCACACTCTGGACTGTCTATGCTGGCACACCCTGAGATGCCACTGTCATACTATGGATGGTCTATGCTGCCACATCCTGACTGTCTAGGTTGATGCTCTTTAACTACATTCTTTTCACACAGCGTTCTACCATGCTGTAAACCTTTTAAAACTTCGCCCATATGAGAAACCATAGCCTAAAACATGACTGAATCCGGTTTATCTTGGAGATGGTCTTTTATCAGAAACTTTGCAATGTCAGGCAAATATTTTAGGAGTCTTTCAACCGAAGTCACCCAGATGAGAGATTATCTCAATGAGAGACCGGAATTAGCAAAGTTTCTAGATGATCTCTCATAGGAGATTCTACTGCAACGGTATTTAAGAGAGTTACAACTATGGTGGACATGGAATATTTACACAATGTGAGGTATTCAATTAAATAATCCCTTGCTTCAATATGGAGCATAATTAATCATTCCTCCAGGGAAAAGTGTCTTTTCAAAACATTTTTATTATTGTATAACGAATCAAAAGTTTTTACGAAGGAGTATCTTTTATTATATTTGTGCAAGCTTTCGAACTTTGCAGTTCTTCCACAGGCATGGATAGCACATAGGGTAGTATTTCTGTGCTATCCATGCCTGTGGAAGAACTGCAAAGTTCGAAAGCTTGCACAAATATAATAAAAGATACTCCTTCGTAAAAACTTTTGATTCGTTATACACTTATACCAATTGTACGGAGTTTACCTGTAGAAATTTTTATTATTCTCTAGATTTCGGGTACGGACGCCCTTTTACAGGAGAAAACTTGGTATAATGATTCGCCAATATAACACGAGTTAAATATAAACGGATACTATTTCCAAAATCACTTTATTAGGTACTTTCAAAAAGAACAATCTAGTTTATGATATTTACAACAATGAATAATATATGATGGTTATTCACATATTAAACAAAATGTTAACACAGGATTCAATCCCAGTCCATGACTGTCGGAAATCGAGGGTGTTACCCACTCATCCACCGACGTTATATGTGGGATACTATTTTACATAATTTTATATCTATAGAATTTTATAAAATTATGTAAGATATTATCCGATTATATTGTTCTATTGGCGAATTACTAGGTTTTCTCCTGTAGCAGGGCGTCCGTGCCCGAAAGCTAGAGAATAATAAAACTAGCGGTCTCGGGGCGGTGACAAAGCCACAACACCAGCTATGACAAACTGAAAAACGTCCACCTAGAGACCATGGTTTCGGGCTAATGACCCTCGTCAGTCTAGGGCGGACTTTATTCCATGAGATCCACACGGGATCTAATGGAACCTTGACAATATACCAAAGAGGTGTTTAGCTGGCAAAGTGGCTGGGCCAAATCTATGGCTAAAATATAGATGGAAATTTTGAGTAATGTGTAAATTTAGAGAATAATAAAAATGTTTTGAAAATACACTTTTCCCTGGATGCATGATTGATTTTATTGAATGTGAAGTATATTAGCTGATGCGAGAGCAGTGATGAACTCATCCTAGAAGTAGGAGATAGATAGAAATCACCAAACGTAGCGTAATCATATACATATTGTTGGTCAGTCTTAGTGCCCTCAATACGAACTAGCAGGACCATCTACAACTCCAATACAACGACAACCATGGCAGAGAACTACTGAAGAGGAGCCAGTCGCAGGACCATCTACAACTCCAATACAACGACAACCATGGCAGAGAACTACTGAAGAGGAGCCAGTCGCAGGACCATCTTCATCAATACAACGACAACCCTGGCAGAGAACTACTGAAGAGGAGCCAGTCGCAGGACCATCTACAACTCCAATACAACGACAACCATGGCAGAGAACTACTGAAGAGGAGCCAGTCGCAGGACCATCTACAACTCCAATACAACGACAACCATGGCAGAGAACTACTGAAGAGGAGCCAGTCGCAGGACCATCTTCTCCAATACAACAACAACCAAGTGATAGGACGGCTGTGTCCTCTGAAAACTCATCCATAATGCCCCGGTTCTCTAGGTTCGGTAGAGAGCTGAAGAAACCACAAAGGCTTGGGTTTTGAGGAAGGGGAAACGTGTTGTGATATATGGTAAATTATCATATTTGTCAGTTGATATGATTACCTATTTCCATTCATATGTAAATTTTATCTTTTAACGCTATGCAAATTCATGGCAATCTTCTAATATGTAATTTCTGCTCGCTGTTAAATAAAATTCTTTTCAGCCTAACAATGAGTGGTTGTGGCCTCTAGTATCTTTGACACATTATAACAGAGATTTCCTACAATCATACGCTATAACGCCTCAAACCATGATGTCAGGCTGTCACACGATGCTATCTGATTACTTGTTACTTTTCTGAATATTTAAGCGTCTCCTACCATACTGTAAACCTTTTTAATGCCGCCCATATGAGAAACCATAGCCTAAAACATGGCTGAATCCGATTTATCTTGGAGGTGGTCTTTTATCAGAAACTCTGCCATGTCAGGCAAATTCTTGACGAGTCTTACAACCGAAGCATAATCTCTGATGAGAGATTATCTCAATGAGAGACCGGAATTAACAAAGTTTCTAGGTGGTCTCTCATAGGAGATTCTACTGCAACGGTATTTAAAATAGTTACAACTATGGTGAACATGGAATATTTGTTAAAGAATTTATGACCTATGTTTATTATAAGAACTCTCGTGAAATATAAAAATGACAAGAATGGATATATAAACTCAACAAGGTTGACAAACTAAGAAGTATTTCTTCTTTTCCTTTTTTTTAATAGGTGGAAAGTATTAGAGATGTTTTTTCAGTGTAAAAAAAAAATACTTCTAGTTTGGATACCTTTTAGAGAACATACAGCTATTTTTGTTGCTAATATATTTTTGTATTTCTCGAGATAAAAAAAAATAGATAAAAAGTGCAAAATCATATGATTTTGCGCTTTTTATTAATTTTGTTCCAGGCGATTTTATATAACTCAAAAATGGATCATAAATTCTAAAATTAAAAAGATCTCTCTTTGTCCTAAATATTCAAACAGTCCTGTCAGGGTTCCACATTCCTATACTGCGGCTATCGCCAGGAGAATGGTCTTCATGTTGGATCTTGTTCACCTTTGTCCTTCTGATAATGGTCTAACTGGTTTCCAGAACTGACGGACCATATTTCTGTCTTGTGATTGGTCTGCTTCCATCCCCATAATACATCTCAACCGTAAATACTCGATTAACCCAGGTATCGGCAAACTGCGGCTCTTTGGATATGAAGCTGAGGTTCTTTATTTAGTTCAAAAGGTAAATATTTATGCGAGTACTATTTATTGTTGGCAAGAAAACATTTTGTGGCTCTTTAAAAACTTTGATATTTTGTAAATTGTAATTTTTGACTCTTCCGACTCAAAAGTTTGCCGATCCCTGCCTGGACTAACCGATTATATGAAGCCATGTCTATATATTTGGCAAAATATAAAATATTTAAAAATACGATTTACTAACAGAGAACGAGCTCTAATAAAGAATGATTAAGGATTTACATATTACTCTAATTAAATTATTGCGAACATTTTGGAAAGATGATTTTAAAATAAAACTACAACCTTTCGCAATGAGTTTCTTTTATTATGATAATAATATCATAATAAAGGAAACTCATTGCGAAAGTTTGTAATTTTATTTTAAAATTTGTAGCGCAATTTTTTCGTTTACTTCAAAGATGATTTTGCATGTTTTGCCAAATTTTTACCTTTTTGTTGGCTTTGAGTTTTTTTTTTAAAGGAGTTCTCTTAATTTTGAACGAGAGCATATTATAAATATTGAAAACACTTACAGTAGAACCTCCATGAGAGGACACTCGCGCTAGAAGACACCTCTCTGCAAAGGACAGTTTTCATTTGAAAAATTACCATTTTGAAACTCTCCGGTAAGAGGAAACCTCTCCCTAATGGACAGTTTGGCTCTGCAATTAAGTGTTGTCCTTTACAGAGAGGTTCTACTGTTATTAGAATTTTATTTTTAGCAATTGTGTGCCATTTTAGTATGCTTTATACTTAAAAAATGGGAAAATAAAAGCTGTTTTTTGATTCCAAGGTTTCTTAAACTGTATATTCGCTTACTAGCAAGACAAAAAAAAACTTTCTAAATAATTTATTTTAAAGGAATGCTAAGTTTTTCAAGAGAATATAGATAAGAAATTGCCATTGTGAAATACTTTTGAGAAACTGCTTGTTACTTACCAGTTTTATAAAAAAATTATACTCTTTGATATTTAACCACATTCCAATAAATTTTAAATAGAAAATTGAATGATACTCTCACCATTTTCTTAAAAACATTCAGCGAATACTCATTTAAAAAAAAATATTAAACTTAACATTCATCAATTCTAAAATTTTCTAAGATTATTAGTAGTAACAAAGGTAATCAAGGTTCCTGGAGCTATCCATAGATCACCAACTACTCGGGCTGTCCTGTGGAATCTGTCCTTGGTAGCCTTAGTGAACTGGTTCACCAAGTGTTTCCATGCCAGCTTGTTTCTTGGTAGATTCAATAGGGTAGTGTTATTGGACGAGGGCAGTCCAATAAGTGTAGCCGCCTGGAAACCCTGTAGTTGAAATTCTGGGCAGTTGAACAGGTCTGGTGAACCAGTTCACTAAGCTTATTATGAAAATAACGAAAATTGCAATTATACCGAAAATGTTTCTTTTGAACGAAAAATCGATATTTATTTTAAGGAGAAATAACGATTATTTCTAACCTTAGGGATGAAGTATGTATAATAAGATGAATTGTGAAGAGTAATTTTAAACTGAAAAATAAAGTGTCCAGGGATGGGAATCAAACCCAGCGGTAGCCTAGTGAACATAGCATCTGCCCAGTAGGCGGAACACTGTGGGTTCGATTCCCATCCCTGGACACTATTTTTCCGTTTAACATTACTCTTCACAATTCATCCTATCATACTTCATCCCTAATGCTAGAAATAATCATTTATCTTTAAAATAAATTTCGATTTTTCGTTCAAAAGAAACATTTGTGGTATAATTGCAATTTTCGTTCTACAATCATAAGCCGCATTATATTGCATTATGGAAATTATATTTAAACTATTTCTAAGGAATAAAAGCTAACTGCGATGATAAATATAAACAATCGAATCGCAGTTAGCTTTAATTCTTTCTTAGAAATAATTCTACGATTCCTCTTATATTTAAAATATTTATTTGCATATACTTATATATTTGCATATATATTTGCCTATATTTATTTGCATATTGCATTTATATATTTGCATATTTTTCTTGGTGTGGCCCAAGAGAGACTTCTCAAAAGTTAACGATAGCTAAATTATCTCAGTACAAAGTATTATAACCAGCGCCATATCAAGTCGAATGGTTGCTCTGTCCCTATATAACTCTTACAAAGCAGTAAGCAGGGAAAAAAACTTTGTGTATTAAGCCCAGTGTTTTATTTTAATAGACAGTAGTGCATTTGTTAAGAAATTATCAGTTTATTAATTTATAAATTAATTAGTTCGTTAATGAGTTCAGATAAGATTAAAATTTTAAAAGTAGTCAATTAAGCTAAAATACATAATAGCTGCATTTCTGCCGCTAACATCATTAAGAAGGTGTGTGAATGGATTATCTATTCACATCGGTCAACCCAAACAATCCTACTTTGGTAGAAACGTAAGGCCAACTGGGGGTACAAGACGTAGACCTCTTTGTCTAGAAGCATTTTTGAAATGCCGTTGGCTGAGGTAAGAGTAAAATACAATTCTCCGTTTTCTTTTAAGGCATCAACGACTTTTTCGGGTGTCCATTCTTCGTCTATCTCTGCTTCTTCGTGCGGTGCTTCTTCCCTTGGCCTCTCTGCCACTTCCAAGCTTTCTACCTGTAGTATTCCAACAGATTCCATTTCTTGTACAGATTCCCTCATTTCTTGTTCTTTCTCGCCACTTTGTTTAGTTCTCAATAGTCTTGAACTTGTCATTGATGTAGTTGGTGTCGTTCTTATTGGAGTTGATGTTATTTCTGGAGTTGATGGTATTTCTGGAGTTGATGGTATTTCTGGAGTTGATGGTATTTCTGGAGTTGATGGTATTTCTGGAGTTGATGGTATTGCTGGAGTTGATGGAGTTGATGGTATTTCTGGAGTTGAAGGTATTGCTGGAGTTGATGGTATTGTTGGAGTTGATGGTATTGCTGGAGTTGATGGTATTGCTGGAGTTGATGGTATTTCTGGAGTGGATGGTATTGCTGGAGTGGATGGTATTGCTGGATTTCTTGACGTTCTTGCTGGATCATTATCGTGCGTATTCTGTTCCAAGATTACGTTACTTATTTCCCCAATTCGTCTTTCAAATTTATCAATTAGTTCCCTACAATCGAGATTTTCGGAACGTTCCCAATTGACAGCATTATTCTTCCGCATGAGATAATAAGTAATTTTTTCGTTTTCAATTTTTTTGCCCATTATTTCTTTTACCACTAATTCTTCATCACACATGTCACTTCTGTTCAATCCGGGATTCCTAAAACATGCTTCCGAATTCCTTCTTAAAAGAGTTGCCCTTCTGTTTGCCATTAAAAAAAAATTCTATTAGTAACAGCGACTTAAAAAAATATCGATGTTCACACAGACGCTTTAGAGAGACAAAAAAAAGTTTTGAAGCCAACTTATTTATATATTAAACTAATTTACATATTTACTAGGTGTCGGCAGTAAATATAGGAAACCTAGATAACATGTAAATATACATTTAGTCTCTCATAAGAAAATATATTAAATTTGCATCAATTTGGTCGATACGTAATTAGATTCACGAATAGGTTACAAAGTATAAGGTAAAAATAGTATATTTGATGTCATTTACCATTCTTCCAGAGTTCCTTACTCGGAGATGTACACTGAACCAGAAGGCTTCCAGAGTTTCTCACTCGGAGATGTACACTGAACCAGAAGGTTTCCAGAGTTCCTCACTCGGAGATGTACACTGAACCAGAAGGCTTCCAGAGTTCACCACTCGGAGATGTACACTGAACCAGAAGGCTTCCAGAGTTCCTCACTGAATGATGTACACTGAACCAGAAGGCTTCCAGAGTTCCTCACTCGGAGATGTACACTGAACCAGAAGGCTTCCAGAGTTCACCACTCGGAGATGTACACTGAACCAGAAGGCTTCCAGTGTTCCTCACTGGTGATGTACACTGAACCAGAAGGCTTCCAGAGTTCCTCACTCGGAAATGTACACTGAACCAGAAGGCTTCCTGAGTTCCTCACTCGGAGATGTACACTGAACCAGAAGGCTTCCAGAGTTTCTCACTGAATGATGTATACAGAACCAAAAGGCTTCCAGAGTTCCTCACTCGGAGATGTACACTGAACCAGAAGGCTTCCAGAGTTCCTCACTCGGAGATGTACACTGAACCAGAAGGCTTCCAGAGTTCCTCACTGAATGATGTACACTGAACCAGAAGGCTTCCAGTGTTCCTCACTCGGAGATGTACACTGAACCAGAAGGCTTCCAGTGTTCCTCACTCGGAGATGTACACTGAACCAGAAGGCTTCCAGAGTTCCTCACTGAATGATGTACACTGAACCAGAAGGCTTCCAGAGTTTCTCACTGAATGATGTACACTGAACCAGAAGGCTTCCAGAGTTCCTCACTCGGAGATGTACACTGAACCAGAAGGCTTCCAGAGTTCCTCACTCGGAGATGTACACTGAACCAGAAGGCTTCCAGAGGTTCTCACTGAATGATCTATACAGAACCAGAAGGCTTCCAGAGTTTCTCACTGAATGATGTACACTGAACCAGAAGGCTTCCAGAGTTCCTCACTCGGAGATGTACACTGAACCAGAAGGCTTCCAGTGTTCATCACTGGTGATATACACTGAACCAGAAAGCTTCCAGAGTTCCTCACTCGGAGATGTACACTGAACCAGAAGGCTTCCAGAGTTCCTCACTGAATGATGTACACTGAACCAGAAGGCTTCCAGTGTTCCTCACTCGGAGATGTACACTGAACCAGAAGGCTTCCAGTGTTCCTCACTCGGAGATGTACACTGAACCAGAAGGCTTCCAGAGTTCCTCACTGAATGATGTACACTGAACCAGAAGGCTTCCAGAGTTTCTTACTGAATGATGTACACTGAACCAGAAGGCTTCCAGAGTTCCTCACTCGGAAATGTACACTGAACTAGAAGGCTTTCAGAGTTCCTCACTCGGAGATGTACACTGAACCAGAAGGCTTCCAGAGGTTCTCACTGAATGATGTATACAGAACCAGAAGGCTTCCAGAGTTCCTCACTCGGAGATGTACACTGAACCAGAAGGCTTCCAGAGTTCCTCACTGGGTGATGTATACAGAACCAGAAGGCTTCTAGAGTTCCTCACTGGGTAATGTATACAGAACCAGAAGGCTTCCAGAGTTCCTCACTGGGTAATGTATACAGAACCAGAAGGCTTCCAGAGTTCCTCACTGGATGATGTACACTGAACCAGAAGGCTTCCAGTATTCCTCACTCGGAGATGTACGCTGAACCAGAAGGCTTCTAGAGTTCCTCACTGGGTGATGTACACTGAACCAGAAGGCTTCCAGAGTTCTTCACTGGGTGATGTATACAGAACCAGAAGGCTTCCAGAGTTCCTCACTGGGTAATGTATACAGAACCAGAAGGCTTCCAGAGTTCCTCACTGGGTGATGTACCCTGAACCAGAAGGTTTCCAGAGTTCCTCACTGGGTGATGTACACTGAACCAGAAGGTTTCCAGAGTTCCTCACTGGGTGATGTATACAGAACCAGAAGGCTTCCAGAGTTCCTCACTGGGTGATGTATACAGAACCAGAAGGCTTCCAGAGTTCCTCACTGGGTAATGTATACAGAACCAGAAGGCTTCCAGAGTTCCTCACTGGGTGATGTACACTGAACCAGAAGGTTTCCAGAGTTCCTCACTGGGTGATGTACACTGAACCAGAAGGCTTCTAGAGTTCCTCACTGGGTGATGTATACAGAACCAGAAGGTTTCCAGAGTTCTTCACTGGGTGATGTATACAGAACCAGAAGGCTTCCAGAGTTCCTCACTGGGTAATGTATACAGAACCAGAAGGCTTCTAGAGTTCCTCACTGGGTGATGTATACGGAAACGGAAAGCTTCCAGAGGCTTACGAAGAAGAAACGGAGCACCTCCTCGGGCTACTCACGCCTGAAGACAAAATTCTTCTCGACAAATTCTTCGACATTATCATCAAACATGTTCCGAACATGAACTCCCCAAATGGCAGGGATCTGTCTAAATTCAAGGCGGCTTTAAACTCTTGATCCGGACGTGCCCTCGGAGAGGGCTACGTCGATTGTATATATCTCTCTTCATTCCTACCATTATTATTACCTTATAACTCCCTTTGAGTGTAAAGAATGACGAGATGTCAATAAAGTTGTTTAATTGTCAATTGTCACACATTTGATTACTTCATATAGATTTAAAAACTGCGCTAGCCTTGATGCACTAGAATCAAATAAACCCCTATAGGAAGTTGTCCTTCTTTTTTTGATGTCATTGTAATCGTTAATTGAAATTATGAAACGGGCGGTTCCCGATGGAAGTGATAAGTAACAACATATTGTCTTGGAATTTTTGATTTATACAAAGATGTTAAATGTAAAGATACTTACGATGAACATATGAGAATCATAAGGACAAAATACCTACGATCAATGATATATCAACATTTTTCTCAAACCGGCCACATTTTTACTATGTCAGACGTCGGATGCCACTAAATATCACACAAAAATACCAAAGATTACTTCTGGAATTGCTTCTATACAATTTAAATTTCAATTATTTTATTTCCAAAGCGCTATATCCCGCAAGGGATACTTGCGGCAAACAAGGAGAAAAGTTTATT